TTTACTTGGTTACAAGATGCTGGTGAGGTTTCTGCCCTGAGCTACAACTTCACTGTTATGAGACTCCTCACTTAGTCTGAGGAAATTAAAGGGGTGTCCTGGAAAAGGTTAATTTGAAATCAGCAAGCCGCTCTGTCTGACTGGTACATCCAAAGATTATGAAGGATCTTCAATATGAACTTAGCTGCCAGCCTACATAATCACATCTCTGTCCTAGAAGAACAACATTATTTTCCTGCAGTACCTTTAGAAAAGGGTTTCGGAACACTTAAGAAATGCACAAATGAAATTTACATCTGCAGATGTAAGTACTGCAGATACTACATCTGCAGAAATAAACTGCTGCATAAAATAATTACTTTTGTGAGATAGCAACATTTACATCTGCAGTTGTAAACTGGTTAAAGCAAAAACTGAACATGGAATAACAAAACACCTGTAAACTGGGTTGAAAAGACCTAGGTAGGTTGATTCTTCCAGAGGGAGATCATGACTTACTGATCTCAGAAGTCTTTGCATGTGTCATTAAAAGTGATGGCTAGAATAGAATAACCAAAGTGGTGTATGTAGTTCTGAAAGTTGACACATGGCAACACAAATAGGCCCCCCTTAGGATTTCCTGACAGAAATACCTGCATGTGCACTTTAGCATAGTGGAGCCATATCCTCTGCATGAATGATTTGGCAGGTATAGAAACCCCAGCAAATTTAAACTATACATATTTTACTTCTGGTGTTTGGATGGATTAGGAGTGCAGGGAGAACTAGCCAGGAATCAGTCTGCGAAAAGAAAGACTAAGTAGTCAATTTGCATTATTAAGATGGGGACAGTGGATTTGCCTTTATGTTACACTCTGTTTTAAATATTTGTTTATTTATTTATTTATTAAGTTTAAAATACTGCATAAAATAATTACTGTTGTGAGATAGCAACATTTACAAGTGCCGTACAATTATTTGTATGACTCAGGGCTGTAGAAGGCTTGAGTATTTCATGTCCAGTAGAGCTCAGTTTGCTGGACTGGTCCAGTATGCATATTCTAGGAATAAGTAAGAATCACCACAAGCTTGGGTTTCATGGAGAAACAGACACTTGTGTTCCAGGACTGATCCTAACCTTCAGCTCTCGGTATGCTTATAAAACCTGTGTGGGGATTATCCCAGTGCTGTTTATCGGAGTTTTCCCTTCAAAGTATACAACGTCGGGGCACTACTGGAGACTGCTCTGCATTTGTATGACCTTTAGTCAACTACAACTTCACTGAAATTCAGGGTTCCTTATGTTTGATATGTTTTGTAAAGAAATACTGTATTCATGTTGTATAACTGACTCACACTTTGAATGTATTGAGTGATTTAGGTATTTTTTTACCAGACTATGCATAATTCTACATGTGGTAATGTGTGTAAAAACAGATGAAATAATGAACAGTACAAATGGAGAGGAGAGGAGATGAGAACAAAACAAGGGGCCAAAGAATCTCTTCCAAATAAGTACTTGGGATTTTTTTAATTACCATTGTTATTATTTAGGTTTTGTATTCAGGGGATTAAAAAAACACTGTAACTTGTTCACTGACTTTTTCCAACATTCCCTTAGACCTCTTAGATTTGCAAATACCCTCAAAATAATGAATTTAGGCATCTGAAATACCTTTTCATTTCTTCACTGGATCCTTCAGGCATAACCTATGGCTCAACCTTTTTTTCTGAAGGTCAGGAGAGTTTTATTCATCTGGCATAAGTAGTTTGAGTGTGGCATTTATAACTTGAGTAATGTTATGGATAATAATACCATTAGACAGTTTTACAGCTTCAGCAGGAGTTCAGCCAGCAGGACTATCAGCCTGATAAATGCTTTAATCTTAAAAGGTTGTATTGCTACAATAACCCTGAAACTTAAAGCTGCTCCTTGAAACTGTAGCCTGGCTAAAGAGATGAAGGGTGCCCTCTGACATTTCTAGGTTGCTAAAGAGCTCTCAGGTTCCACATGCAGCTGTTCTGATTTGGAAATTACTATAGTACTTCATAGTTTTAAATTAATTGGGGGCAGTTCTACTTAAAAGAATTAACTTTAGATTGAGATGAGACTGAACTCTGGGTAATGAGTCCCAACATTTTGTTCCTACGCAATTATAAAGTGTTTCTACAGGATTTTAGGACTCATACTGCTATTTTTAGAAACAACAGTGAGTTTCATCTCCTCTGTTTAGGTACTTTGCAGTTATAAAACCCCTACATGACTGCTAGAAAAACTAATCTATAGAGTAGGCTGAAAGTGGTGTAAGAAGCTAGCAATGACAACTGGTATGATTTTGGCTTTCTAGAAGAAGTTTGTTTTCTAGAGATCTGAAAGAGTAGTTATGTTCTAAAAGCAGATAGTGAAACGGATGCTTTTAGATCCTGTTCACGGATTATGCATGTTGAGTAGATAAAATAATGAACAGTGTGAAAGGAGGCAGGATGATACAAGTGGAAGAAGAATAGAATAAAGGACCACAAGGGAAGGAAGTGTGAGATGAACACAGGTCAAGTTACAGCTCTTTTATCTAAAAATAGAAATCTGGGGGCTGTAGCGAACTTTAGTGGCTGTTTTAACCCAGCAGCTATTTAACACAAAAATATTTGTAGCATTGTCGTGGTTTAAACCCAGTCAGGTAACTCGTTCGCTCACTTCCCCCCCTTTTCTTGCCCTCCCCCTGCTCTCGGAGGGACGGAGAGGAGAATCGAAAAGAATGCAACTCCCACGGGTTGAGATAAGAACAGTTTAGTAACTAAGGTATAACACAAATCACTACTGCTACCACCAATGATAATAATGATAAAGGAAATAACAAGGGAAGAGAATACATCATCTCACCACCAGCCAACCGATAACTCGCCCCCCCAGCCCGACCAAGCTCTGACCGATACCTCCTCCAACCCTGCAGTCTCCCGGCCCTTCCGGCTAACTCCCAGTTGCATCCTGGGCATGACGTGCTGTGGTATGGAATACCTCTTTGGTCAGTTTGGGTCAGGTGTCCTGTCTCTGCTTCCTCCTGGCTTCCCCTCCTCCCTGGCAGAGCATGAGGCTCACAAAGTCCTTGGCCAAACCAAAACATCGCTTGTTATCAGCTCTGTTCCCGAGCTGAAGGTCAAAACACTGCACTGCACCAGCTACCAAGAAGGGGAAAAATGACTGCTACTGCTGAACCCAGGACAAGCATATAACAATTACAGTTAAAGCAGCCAAATACTGTTTTTCCATCTCTTCTGATGACATGAAACAATTCCATTGATTTTCTTAAGATTATAATGACTTCTCTGGAGTTCCTCTGTTAAACTGCTATTCTAGTTTACAACCTTCTGTGTTTCCTAATATCACTTTAATCATACAAAAAATTTTAGTGCTTCTCGTTTTCAGTAAGACCTTTGAAGCCATGTTCCTTACTGAAACTTTCAAATGTGCAGCCATGACAGCTGCTTCCAAGCTGAGTACTTTTGTGTAAGTGTGATACAATACACAGTCTGAATGCTGCAAGCCTGTCATGACATCTCAGAAGGAAGATAGAAAGGAAGACATCTGACAGCAGAGGTCACCAAGTGTGATTGGAGGCTTTGAGCAACAGCTGTGCAGGGAGATGCTAAATAGGCTATGATTCTTCATCTTGGAGAAGAGATGACTTAAGGGATTAGGTAATAGAGGTCTATGAAGTTGTCACCAATATTGAGAATGTAAGTAGGGAACAATTATACTGTATTTCTTTTAGTGTTAAGAGGAAAAGGTTACCAAGTGAAACTATAAATTATCAAAGAAGAGGGAATACTTTTTTTTGGAAGCTACATGAGTGTGCAGGGGAGGTGTCTGCTCAGTGCATCCTGTTCTTTTACTCTTCCTCAAACACTTGACCACTATTAGAGGTAATATACAAGGCTAGATGACTTTTTAATCCAGGCATATAATTTTTAGAATCTTAAATTTTACAAGCACTGGAAATAGGTGGTAGGCTGAAGGGCAAGTATAAAATTGGGCCTTCCTTTTAGCTTTGTTTTTAATGCTGGCTAGTTTTCAAGTTGATGAGTGCATTTAAACTTGCTTTAAAACATACTTACCTCATATAAAATCATGTGATAGCAGCAGCAGCCGTGACTAATGCATTTGGTGTTTGGTGGATTTATTAATCCTTATTTCCTGATGATTTTTTTAATTCATCTGATATGCAGGATCTTAAATTGCTTAAAGCCTCAAGACTGAATATGCTTATAAAAAGAGAAATTGTAGGTTCCAGTCAGTCTGACTTCAGCCAGTGTGCATTGGCTGCATAGTAGCTCGCATTATCCATTTTGTATGTGAAATGGTGGATAGAAGCTCTTCTTCATCTCTTCCTGAATGTGTAAAATATTGCCTTCCTCTTGGGCTGTAATAATCTACTTCCAGTTGACTGATCATACTGCTTTATGCCTCTGCTTTTGGAAGACGTTCTCCCACCTTCTCTCAGCTCATGAACTGAATAACCTGTCTTCCTCTATTCAGCCTTCTATTTCTCACAAACTATTTGAAATCTCCGCTAAGACCTCACTTTTGTCAGCTTTTCCTTTTTGATATTGTTATGACTGACACATACCTCAGTTTCTGCCACCTATTTTAGAAGTTTCTGTATAATCCAAGAATATTTCAGACTCTGTGGTAGCTCTTCTGCCAGCTTGCTTTAGTTGTAGTAATGACCAAGTTTGAATAAAGAGTAATGTGTCATATTAAAGTGAACAAAATGCACCCCACTGTGGAATGTTACTTGCTCACAGATTTTAGGAACTTAAATCTAGGCTCTTCTGCTTTAACTTTATTCTTTGTGTACATCTTTGGTTGTAGCATCCGGTTGTGGCACCATTTCACTTCCCTGACTGCTTTGCTTTCAATTAATTTCCAGCATAGCTAGTTAATTACAAGATGTGTTTGAAGGAGGAAGGGTCCATGTTTGGCTAATGTTTGGTGGGACTGAGGTCTGTTCTGGTATTTTCAGGTACTGTTTGGCACTGCTGATGGGCAAGTTATCGTCATGGACTGCCACGGCCGAATGCTGGCGCACGTGCTCCTTCATGAATCAGATGGCATCCTCAGCATGTCCTGGAACTACCCTAGCTTCCTGGTGGAGGACAGCAGTGAGAGTGACACAGACTCTGACGACTATTCCCCACCACAAGGTAGTGTTGTGTGCACATCCTTCTGCTTCATCTTTGCAAGCACTCACAAAGACAACTTGAACTCCAAGGAGTTTTCATGCTGTATTTAAACAGCAGGATGGCCAAAGTTTCAAGCAGGTAGAGTCTGAAAGATGGTGCATTGCTGTGCAGGTAGCATGGAGAATGGAGTAGAGAGCTGGTGCAGGAGAGTGGATTTGTCTCCACCTTTGCTACCAGCTTCACTGCATGGCTTGCTGCTGTTCATACCTTGTCTGTGCTGCTCTGCCTCCATTTGCACAAATGAGATAACAACACAAAGCTCAAAGCTTTTAGGGCAGGTGAGTAAAAAACACTGGATAGGGGCATAGCAGGTTTCACTGATAAGCAGATATTGTGAGGTTTTGCAGTGGTCCATATGTAAGAAGGTAGTCAGAGTGCAGCTGCAGAAGTTAATGCATTATTATTTAGATACATGTGAAAAGACACCAGTACTAGATATAGTGGAAAGTACTACATGTTTAATTTTGTCTGTGTTGCATAGGATTTTTATATGCTCCTCATAGTAGTCCTATTCTTGATAGTCCTGACATAAAAAGCTCACTAAATTCCATAGATGGATTAGAAATGAAAGTATTTTCTGCAGTTACACAGTGTAAGAAGAAAGACGACTGGTGCTGTCTGGAGTTACTAATTTCCATGCTTAAGAGCACATTGCCAATTTGAGGGTCAGGAAGAAATTCTTCCCTCCACTTAAATGTAAATATAACTCATTGGGAAATCTGTTCTTGTTTCAAACTCTTTGGAAACAATCAGTGGCAAAGACCTAGGAGACATAGGTATCCATGCACAGTCAGCCCCATCCTTCTTATTCAAGTAATGCTAATACTTCTTGTTAATGTTGTTCATTAGTCTAGAAGATCTAGGTAAGATGTTTTTGTGTTCTAGTGTATAAAGTCTGAACTAAATTAGTATCTAAATTAATAAAACAGTGATTGTACAATGAAAATTTAAATATAGAATCATAGAATACCAGGTTGGAAGGAACCTCAAGGATCATCTGGTCCAACCATTCCAGGCAAGCCACGACCTAAGCTAGATGGCCCAGCCAAATCTTTAAACTGCCCAATGCTGGGGAATCCACTACTTCCCTGGGGAGATTATTCCAATGGCTGAATGATCTCATTGTGAAAAATTTTCCTCTTTTGTCCATTTGGAATCTCCCCAAGAGTAACTTGTGCCCATTACCCTTCGTATTTTCCATGTGACTCCTTGTAAAAAGGGAGTTTCCATCTTCTCTGTAGCCACCCTCTAAATACTGGAACATGGTGATAAGACCTCTCCTGAGCCTTCTTTTCTGGATGCCGAACAAACCCAGTTCTCTCAGCCTTGCATAATAGCTAGAAATAATTCTGAACTGCCATCTCAGATCTGAACTGCTGAATTGAGAACTCTTGCAGTTTTAACTGTAATTTGGATTCAGTCCAAAAATCTACCTTGTCCAGAATTGTGTATATATGTCAATAGAATAAGCATAATAAGCATATGTATTTAACAAATAATGGTAGAAGATAATGTGATCATCTGATAAAAGAGTAGCATATTTTAAAACTGAGTTTTGTTTTGGCATTCGTGCCTCACTTTTGGTACTGTGTGAGATTTCTTACCTTAGAGGAAAAGAAAAAAACTTCAAATTTCCTAGCAAGCTTCTAAAGCAAGACAGAGAACAGCATTAATTTGATGTGTTCATTGTTTAGGTTTTTTTTTAAATGCTGAATTTCCAGTTGGAGGATGGTGAAGTTGCAGAGTACACAGATGAGAACTTAAATGATCTGAATGTGCTAGCTCTTTCTGAGTCAGTCAGGGGTGGGTGGACTCGTTACAAGCCTACAAGCCTATTTTAATAGTTACCCAAACATGATGTGTTTTCTTTAGAGCAGATTGCAGCATAAACCTCTCAAAGGTGACAAGCCTTTGACTCACACAGGTGTGTAGGAAGGACTGGAAGTTTGATGGGTTTTTCTTACTAAATTATATACACAAAGAAGTGGTAATTACTAGACGTATTTCTCCAGAGTGCTTTCTGATCAGCTTTTTTGCAGTTCGGGAAGCTATACCACTCTTAAGTGGCTCTGCCATTTTTGTTGACTGAAAAAGATGCTGGCTGGGCCTTGAGGGGTACTTTACCAGGGCAGCAGCATCTCCTGTCAGAAACTGTAAACAAAATGAGTGAAATGTCGAACGCTACAGATGATGATACTGTTGTTCATACAGTATTTGAACAAGGGAATTTCAGGGAACACTGAAAAAGAAGCCCAGAGGAGCAGAGATTTTGCAGAAATGTCCTGTCTTTAAAGCCAGCTGTTCCATTTGGGCTCACCTTTACATGTGAGCACACTGGATTCTGTTGAGCAGTATCCAATGCCTGTCTCTTAGAACACAGTAATTTGTGAAAAGTCAGTATGTTCTTTTAGAAGTTCTTATAATGTCCCTGTGTGACTCTAGGAGGAGTCTCCAGCACTTGCCCAAGCAGAAAGTGTAACTAACAAATAGCTTTTAATGTGGTTATATTGTTTATTACACTGGTTTTCAACTTGGGTTCCAAGGAAGCTTCCAAAGCACTGGTTTTCAATTTGTGGACACTTTGAAGAAATGACAGTGGAGACAGATTGAAAACCCTCACTGTGTAAGATAATAGTATATGCATAAATCACTTTGGATATACTGTGGTAAAAATTTACAAAGTAAAAACACTGGGGCTTCACAAAAACAGACAACTAACTGGCTAAACCTGCTTTGCTTTTGCCCATTGACATTGAAGCAATAAAGAGGTAGAGTTTGAGGCTTGGAAGCACTCCTGATGGTGGCAGGCTGAAGTACAGTGTACTTCAACCTGAATGTAATTCCTTCTGGTTGGTTGCCTTTTGCTCACCCTAGAGCCTTGTTTTTGCAGACGGACCAGCTGCGTATCCAGTCCCAGTACAGAACACCAAGCCACTACTTACTGTCAGCTTCACGTCGGGAGACATCAGTTTAATGAATAATTACGATGACTTATCTCCTACTATCATCCGCTCAGGGTTGAAAGGTACAAAAGGAAATCACTTCACCCCTTCCCTATGCTCTGTTTTTCTTGTATTTTTAATGGTGTGTGTTTATCTCTCCTAATCCAGAAGCACTCTGCCACCTTTATTGCCGTTTCCAGCAGTGACACCTGCTGGTGGGAGAGCAGCGCTTAACTCACGGAGTTTTTGTGTTTGAAATAATGTTTCCGGTTTGGGGATCGTGTTTTTATGGCAGTTTTGTAGAGCAACTGATCCATTTGCTGTTTCCCAGCTGAATGTGCTAATATGTCTATGCTTCTTTGTGTGAATGCCTCTGCTACATAACACTTCCTTTGCACCTTTAATTCACAAGGTCTCCCCCCATACTTTTGGTAGCCAGGTATGAATTACAGTGCTACTTTGACTTTCACAGATACTGAAAACTTGCTAGAGTTATTAATGATCAGGAAGCAAGTTATTCTGAGAGAAGGAAAATTCTACTGATTAATTACTACACATCTTGCTAAGCGATGTGCATGAAATGCATGAATGTTTGTACAATCAGTATTCCATGTGAAGCCTTTAATTCACATTGAAATTTTTACTGTTCTTACCTATCAAAAAATCTCTTACTTTGCCAGTGCTCTCAGTGCAATTTACGATTCTTTGCCTGCAGAGGCGTTTAAATTCACTGCAGCACATAAGCACATACTTAAATATAGGTTCCACTGATTCTTTTTCAGCTCCATAGGTAAATTAGTTATATATTAGATGGAAAAAAAAAAAAAAAACAAAACCAAAAAATCTTTGGAGCAGACTCTTGGCTGTTTTATAACAGTGGGATATTTTTGGTGAAAAGTTGCCCTAGCACCACCCCAATAGTTTCTGTGTAATCCATTATGTAGGGTAGTCTTATGGCGTAAAAGAATCACCTTTGAGGTTTCTTTTCCACTCTTGCTTCCATCTGTGCCAACACAAGAAGTGCATCACTGGCAAAATATAGCATCATAAGGCAACCCCATGATCCAGAAAAGTTCTTCAGCCAGAAGGACACCTAAATTGGGAAAATTGAACAAATTTAGAGAAGCTTGTGTCACATCTACCAATGGGTCTGCCCAGCATCTTCATTGTATTATAGTAGTTAGGGTAAGGGTAATCTTGAGTAGTCATTTAGTCTAGCTTTCAGATAGAAACAGTAAGAGAAACAAACCCCATCTTACTATCTGTTTAGAGTTGCAGGGCTCTGTCTTGCTGGGGATGTCTGTCCTGTTTCTCTTTTCCCCTGACTGTCACAAATGGAAAAAAGATTTCTTAATTGCATCACTCTCCTTTAGGAAAATATTAATGTGCAGCTAGAGTAGAAGTATTTTTACGAATTGTAAACTGGACTACGTTGTTTTCATCAGTAGACAAAGAATGTGCAACATCTTGCTGGATTGGGGGTGTGAGACGGAGACAAGAAAGGTGATTGGGATGTCACTGTTGTTTTGAAGCATTGTACAGTGGAAAGTATTTTACATATAGTTTCATATAGTACATATTTTCTGTATCTTCTTATAAATTTATTTTTCATGAGACTGTAATTTTACTGGTTTTATCACATGCAAGAATTTGCAAAACCACCCAGCTCAGGGTTGCCATCCTTTCCAGCCACTTGGTATTCTGCTGAGGGTGAGTGGTCTTCAGTATTGTCTGCAAGTCTTAATTCATGTGGCTTTGTCAGAAATCCCGAAGTATTGCTTTCTGGTCTCTTCAGCAGATGTCCTTGTCTTTATGGGGTGCTGTAGATTTCTCAATGTATTTTTAAATCAGGCAACGATAAAACTATTTTGAACAATAACAGTATAATTTTTGGTACTCTGCTAGCTGTGCAAAGCTGTCATTTACTTGAAATATTTATATAAAATTGATACAGAAAAACTTTTGCTGTTGGTTGAGAATTTGATTACTCAAATACAAGTTCTTCTTCTCATCCAGCTTGAAAACGTCTGGATGTTTTGTCAGTTCTAGTAGAGGTCCTGAACTGTTCAGTTGTATCCTTTCTTTATTTACACCTTTTAATTCAGTGATTGACAGTGCACTGCTACCTGTGGAACTGCTGAGCTACATCTACTAGTTATACTGGTTAGCTACAACTACTGCTGCCTGCACAGCTGTTGTATAGTTAGAGAGCTCTCTTCAAGGTTTACTGAGGGATGACTGATCCACCAACTCACTTGCATATCATTACCTCATTTTTAATCTCTGTGCTTGCTCCGAGACCTAGTGATGAGTTGAGCTATTTTACGTCAAGGTTCAATAATCATTGAAGACCCTGTTGGCAGTGTAAGCGTGTTGTAGAACCATGCAGGATGCTGCAGCCCACATCCACCCCATGCTGCCTTTACAGCAGCCTAATTCTATGAGTTTTGTGGGAGAGAGAGGGAGAAAACCATTGGAAACAATAATCACTCGTCTCCGTATGGGGATTGACTGAAAGCTTTACCCGAAGTCATGTATCCAAAGACATGTATCATTTTGGGAGCTGTGTGGTTAATCCAGTTACCAAAAGTGGAATCGATTACCTTGCCTCTTTAGCTTGCCATTAATGGAGTCATTAGCGTGCCTAGCATTATACTCTCTGAGAAAGATGAATTAAATCTCATCGTAGACTACTTAAGGGCTGAGAGCTAAGAGAAAAAAAAGGGCCATACAAAGCCTAGCTGAGGAAAAAATATCTTGAGAAGCATGTGTCTTGTCTCTGATATGTACAGAAGCATAATTCCCGTGAGAAATATCAGAAAGTTGAAATAATACAAAACCATTTTAAATTGCACATGAAAGTCCCAGAAAATGACAAGTTGACAACTTGAAACAATTTTGAGATCCTTCCTGCCAACTCTCATTTCTCTCCTGCTTCTTCATTTGAAGACAGCTTCTCGCCCACAGATGTCTTCAAAAGGTTCTCGGCAGATTGAGCATCCCAGAGCACAAAAGTTTTGTCTTTACCTTCACTTTGTCTTAGCACAAAATAGCTGCCTTTCACCTCCGGTTTAAGAATAAAAAGGTTTAAAGACTAGCTCAGTATTCCTTGCATATGCAAATCTGCCTCTGAAACACAAACAGAAATACAAAATACTGTTTTAGTGCTTTTCTTGAAGTTTGACAAAGAGCTGGAAGATGTAAGGGTTTGAAATTAGAATCCCCAGATTAAGCTATGGGTGTTCCTCACTGTGAGGTGCCTTTAGTAGAAGTACCTGATCATATCTGTGTATATGAGAGACTAAGTAATCCCTGCGTGCTTCTGCCAAACTCCTGCTAGGCAGATGAGTAGATTTTCACAGGTCAGGTGTCAAAAGAAAACCTATGACATGGAGACCATATGTAATTATGGACAAAAGTCCAAAAGTATTTCTAGTTTGACATTAATATTAAACTGTAATTGAGTAATGCCAGTGAGAACACAAGACACTGACAGCTATGCTGCTTTTTTTCACTGTAGGCATTTCCAGACAAATACTCTTTCTTGCTCTCTTAGTAAGATTCTTCACATAATCACAGAGTCATAGAATAGTTAGGGTTAGAAAGGACCTTAAGATCATCCAGTTCCAACCCCCTGCCATGGGCAGGGACATCTCACACTAAACCGTGTCACCCAAGGCTCTGTCCAACCTGGTCTTGAACACTGACAGGGATGGAGCATTCACAGCTTCCCTGAACAACCCATTCCAGTGCCTTACCACCCTTACAGTAAAGAACTTCTTCCTTATATCCAAATAATATATCCAAATATATATACTATTTATATATAAAATATCCAAATAATATACCCAAACTTCTTCCTTATATTCTTAATCTCTGTATTAACTTGATTCCACTTGTTTATCCCCTGAAGCTGTGCATAGGATCTTCCACATAATTTTAAACATCTCTAATAAATTTTTGTCCTCATGTACTTAGGAGAAACCACTGATTACATTCTAGACTCACCATAGAGACAGAAAAATGTATGTATTTTCCACATTTTTTGCAATTTACAGAATAAAAAGACTCATTCTTGGAACTGCAAATATGTGGCACATATGCTACTATGCTACATTGCTTTCAATGAAAGGATTTAGGTTTCTATGTACTTAAGTAACTTTTGAGAGCATGATTTAGTTGTCCAAGTCACTTTGCAGCATCTGGAAGTGCCATTCCTACTGATTCTAAGCAGTGATCATTGCAAACCATCTTTGTGATTTCAGATGTGGTGGTGCAGTGGTGTACACAAGGAGACTTACTGGCAGTAGCAGGCATGGAGAAGCAAAGCCAGCTGGTTGACCTAAGCAATGGTTCCCTGTTGAAAAGCGCACTTGTCAAGTTCTACAATGTGCGTGGGGAACATATCTACACTCTGGAGACACCTGTGCAGGTAGGAGGTATTTTTTAAGTCAGTTCTCAATGCTTTTCCAACATGTTTTTCCCACATTAGCTGGCTGGTATAGACCTGTAATATGAAAACAGTTGCAAAACGTCCGGAACACACTCTAGTATACAGTATAGATAAAAATGCACTATGAATAATTATTGTTTGCATTAAGGTAGACATCCAAGAGTGCATCTGATTCAAAAGACAACTGTGCTAGGTCTTGTGCCAAGTATATAAAAGAAACAGTCTATTTCCCAAAATCACTGGGCCATGAACGGGCAAGATAGAAAGAGGAAATTCTGTTGTTTTGGAGTGATTAAGGAGAAAAAAGCTAGATAACTTGCTTGATGTTGAAGTAGAGCCAAGAGCTAGACAAAAATATTCTAAGTCCAGTGTCACAACTACAAGATTAGTCTCCCTTTGTTATTGCTGTAATTTTCTAATGTACAACCAGTTGATCTGATGCAGTATTTAAATTTTTTATGGCATCAGATGGAGAAGGTTGAATCAGAAAGTCTTGTTTCTGTTCCCACTTTCTGTACAGACTTTCACTGTAACTTAGGTCATTCTACTTGACAAGTAAATGTCAACACATGGTCTGTGTGCTGCTTAGTAGTAAAAGCTTCATAGGTCTTTGCTGATATTTCAGAACGCAGCTGAATTTATCTCTACAGTTTATTTCATTTTCTGCACAATAGGGATGACTGTTCTGATTTCTGACTCTTACTAGTGAAACTGAATGAATTTATAATAGTTTTGAAATCTAAAAGTGAAGGAAAATGCTGTAGATACATTTACTTAATTATGTTTAATGATTATACCCTTTATTACAATTTTTTTCAGTACCCTGAGCTGGGATGGATACAAAAGGAAGACATAGTAAACCAGCTGCTAAGCTTTTGTGTTTGCTTATATTTAGCATTAACCTGTGCTTACTAACATTAGCACTCTAATTTAGACAGAATTCTTTAGTTTTGTAATATTTAAAATTATGATCTCTAAAGCCAACCTAAATACGTACAGTGACATCTAATGTTGATTTAGGTACTTAAAGCACAGCTTTGTTGTCTTAAACATATCCCTTTGAGCAAAGTAGCGCAGCTCTTTCCTCTCTGGATTGATTTTGGAGAAAACATATTTATACTAGTGTTGCTTATTTCCAGACCAGCTAAAAAGCACACCTTGTTCTCTTTCTTTAGTACCACAATACAGTATGTCCATGTTAGCTGTTGTAGCAGTGTAACACTCTAGTGTCAAGCTGTGAAGTCAAATTGTGGTTTAAGCATCTGTTGTGGTTTAAGCCCAGCCAGTAACTCAGAACCACTCAGCCACTTGCTCTCCCCCTTTCCCCCTTCTTCTCCCTCCCTCTGGTTGGGATGAGGAGGAGAATTGAAAGACTATAGAAAGGCTGAGATAAGAACTGTCCAATAACTAAAGTATAATTTGAAACAACTACTACTACTACTAATAATGATAAGGGAAATAACAAGGGGAGAGAATATAAAACTAAAAAGGGAAAAAAAAAAAACAAACAATAAACACAAGTAATGCACAATACAACTGCTCACCACCTGCTGACCGATACCCAGCCTGACTCGAGCAATGAACTGGCCTTCCGGGTGACTCCCCCCCAGTTTATATGCTGGGCAGGATGTGCTGTGATATGGGATACCTCTTTGGCTAGTTTGGGTCAGGTGTCCTGTCTCTGCTTCCTCCTGGCTTCTTGTGCCCCTCCTCACTGGCAGAGCATGAGACTGAAAAGTCCTTGATCAGAGTAAATGCTACTGAGCAGCACCTAAAACATCAGTGTGTTATCAGCATTGTTCTCAGACTAAAGACAAAACACAGCACTGCACCAGCTACTACCTTCATCTCCTCTCGTTTCTCCCCGTATCACTTCAGCTTCTTTTCATGTTTTCAGCTCTTCTCAGTTCTCTACATAATCAGCTGGGAGAAAGCACATAATGTGACACATGTAAGGGCTAATTATTCTGCCATTATATGAGTACTTACAGGACAACTGACAGGTCATACAGAACAGGTAACTTCCAAGTCCATACTGCAGTATCTCTTGTAATGGAAATATTAGCATGAGCCTCTATGCTTTTTCCAGCTGCTAATTTTCACTGAAAATGCAGTGTTTTAGTATCATGAAGATTTCTTTCCCCATTGTCAACTTCAGGTGAAAAGCCAGCAGCTTCAGAAGTTGTAAGCCAGGTTGGAAGCAAAGGAGAGAGGGGCCAGGGGGAAAACAATCATCCCTTTAATAGCGCAATCATGGAGTCTTGTTTCTTTGGGAAAAACTGTGTGCATAAACCTGCCTAAAATTAGAGCCACTCCTCTTATTAACTCAGTGTTCATTCTGTCTATTTAGTGCACATAAGTTCATATTTACTTAGCTTCAGGAGGAAGTGAGGGGTCTTTCAGAAGGACATGTGCTTCTGTTTATGTGGACTTTATGCTTCTGTGTATTTGAATGCTGGACTGGCAGTATTACCAGCTAAGTGACAGGTACGCTAGAACATTGCGAAGTATTTGATTTACTAACAAAACCAGATAAAAACTACTCTTGCTAGTAACTTTGTTATTCTCTGCCTCTACTCCAAAGATGTGTGTGCAGAGATGACAGTGAGTCAGTGGTTCCAGTAATTCATCAGAGTAAATTAATTAGTTTTCTGTACCATGATAGTCAGCCTTGTAATGGGATTTTATAAAAATCATCACTGGTTATTGAAGAAATTAATTGAAGAAAATAATTTCCTCATCTCAAATTCTTCTGCCAAAACTGTTTCTTCTGAAACAAGCAAATGTGACTGGAAAAGCAAATTTATTATAAATGAGCATTGTTCTGAATAGTCAGAAAAAGTAAAGCAGAAACAAACATAGAAAGTAGTAGGTTACAGATGCACAACTGATTTTCCATGCGGTCCTCTGTCCCAATTCTTTGATAAAGCAGATGTCGGAAAATTTTATCAGTAAAGTATACTGAACTGTTTCTTTTTCTGCTGTTTGTCTGTCCTGTCTTTGGTAGGATATTCAGGAAACAAGAGATTTTACTGTTTATAATAAAACTCAGTCTAAACTGATGTAGGATTTGTATGCAACTTGGCTGGAATGTTACCTAACATAAAGTCAGTGCAGACCCCAAGGTAGAATAGATTTGGGTACTGCAGATTAGTCATCTTGATGATGACTGTTGTCATGGTTCCCTTCAAGGTGTTTTATTCACCATCTTCCCCTCCATCTTCAAGACAGCTTTGGCATCCTTTGCCTCATTTGATTAACTCTCATAAGCTCTTACCTTCAGTATAGGAATTTATATTTCATAAACCTAGTTTGCTGACTATGAAACCCTAGATGGGGAAATCACACTTTTTTAGAAGTATCCAAATGAACACTTTGCATGAAAAATAACATTCGTAAACAGAGTGGTAAAGTTATCACAGTATTACAGCCTCACTTCTTCCCTGATCTGAGGCAACAGCCTCCCACCCTGACATGCTGCGAGAATGTATTTGCAGAATGTAGCAGAAAGAGCTGAAAAAGCTGAAAGAGATGGAAAAAAGGTACGGGTTGGGCCAATATGGAACTTCTGCCACATGGAATCATGTTTGAACCTTGAAAGAATGGGAAGAAATTTTCAGAAGAGTCTTCAGAAAGTCACACCAGACTTTTATCTTATAGTGAGGGGTGAGGTATTGGAACCCACTGCCCAAGGAGGTGGTGAATGCTCCATCTGTGGCAGTGTTCAAAGCCAGGTTGGACAGAGCCTTGGGTGGCATGGTCTGGTGTGAGGTGTCCCTGGTTGGAACTAGATGATCTTAAGGTCCTTTCCAACCCAAAACCAGCCTGTGATCCTATGATTCCATGATCTTGTTGGAAGTAGTTCTATAAAATTGGATCTATATTGTGATTCCAAAGATTCCATACTGGTTACTTATTTAATACAGAGAGCATATCTTAAAGGCTGTTGATCAGCTGATAACTATTCAAAAAATATACTATCAAATTCTGTAAAACTTAGCTCTTACTAAACTGACTGTTGTGTACATGAACACCAACATGATGTACCAAAAATATACACATTTCTTGTAGCTGGCAGTTTTTTCATGGTCCTGCTTTTTCAACATTTAAAACTGTGATTACAACAGCAGGATGCCTTGCTGGTCTTTTTTTCTTTTTATTATTATTCTTGGAGGCATGTTGGTTTCTTCCATTATTTGTTAAACCCTCACAGCCTTTCCCTGGCATCAAGCAGGGATGAGAATAATCAACTCATTCAAGAGTGTTTTACAGTCTTGCTAAAACACTGTGACCCAGTTCTGTCACTTCAGAATTTCTTGTTGGATGTGAAGGCAGGTCTTTATTATATCAACTAACTGTACCTGCTGTTGGTTCTGAGTGGATACAGCTGCTTCCTGTCTTCCCATTTAAGCTTTAAACAGAGGAGTCTTCTACAGGATCACTTCAAAATTACTTAACTACCAGCTTTAACAAACCTGGGAAATTTTTGTTGTCTAATGGTTCAAAGTTGTAGTTTGTATTTTGGTTCCTTCTTCACTTTTTATAATTTCCTTTTTTATATGTCCCACAGAAGACCAGGGGAACAAGAACATGGACTTAGAAACCGTGATGCTGATCAAATCTGTACACATATAATTCTACAGTATATTCACATTAGCTTATGATTTTATACCACTATGTAACTGATGTAAGAACATACTAAACTTCAAGTGCAATGAAGGATGAGAGTGAACTGAGCCCGGCATGTTCCGGAATCAGTTGTATAAGCAACAGAATTAGATGCAAAAAAATTGTAATTGCATTTTTATCACTGTAATATTTTTAAACCCTAATTCAGAGTGGTATACCAAACACTAAATCTTTATTGGAGAGGTTTCCAGGAGTCTTTGAGAAGACCCTCTTGCTCTAAACCTGCTGTTCTCAGCAGCAGCCTTCACAGCATTTCAAGGCTGCTTCTCAGCTGGAAATGTCCCAGCATC